GTTTTTTGAACATTAAAGCATGTCAACATATTCTGTTACACCAAATACACAAAATAATGATCTTTAAAAAAGCATCACATGACCCCTTTAAAATGAATATCCTCCCAAAATGTTCTTATTCTTTTCAGTGGTGACTTACGCTGTGACTTTGGTTACGGTGTGACAACATTGGTTCGAGCACATCATTCTGCACCCTAGATGTGCATAAGAGCTTTGTGCCGCTCTTTTTGAAGCGTTTCACATTTCTATCTTATTCTCATGAATGTATTTTGTAAGAATACAAATAGTTAACAGAATAAACGTTTGAATTGTATAATGTGCACCAAAGATTTTTTTCAAGATATTGTTTCTGCTGCTAAATTATACAGTCAGCTAGTTTAATTTCATAGCTTATATATTTTTTATTCAAATGTAGTTTTTCTCTGTAATGAGGAAGTGAGTATTTAGTGGATTATGTTTAACAAAGGGTTTTAAAAAAGAGTGACCATTAGTTCCACAAACACAGTATTGATATTCTGTAGTGGTGTAAAAAATAAAATAAAATAAATAAATAGCGCTGGTGTTGGATCGGTATTGGCCAATTCTTAGAATTTGGAATTCTCTATGTAATCTTACACTGCAAAATAATAACTCAAAAAAGATTAAAAGATAACATCATAATTATTTACTGAACCCTTAAATTAATCACAATTATATAATGAAAGCCATAAAAAACATACAATTAATTGTGATAATCGACATAATCGTCATAATCGCCAAAGTCCTAAAACAGACAATTAATCGCAATAACCGTGACTATTTTTTGACAATTAATCATCAGCCAAATTTCATAATCGTGACCGCTCTAAGTTAGAGTGTTTTTAGCTTATTTATGTTCATATAAAATATGACATGCAGTTGCTTCAAACAATGGTACAAACATCATTCAATGTCAATTGTGATAATCGTAATTAATAATCAAGGGAATAATCGACAATTATGATTTTTGTCATGTCATTTGTATCTTGCAGCCCTACTATATTTATTAGCCTAGTATCATTGTGGGTTTTGGTTCTTTTGCTGTTTTAGGCTGTAATTTGGCGAAGTGATATGGAGATGTAATGTGGTCAAGACCTGCCTGGAACTACTTTAGCCGTGCATTTCCCTGAAAATAATTGCTCACCTTAGAACGGTCGTCAGCCAATCAGATTCAAGCATTCAACAGCCCCGTAGTATAAGACTGCCTTAAATGGCTGAACAGATTTAATGGCGCACTGATTATTGCTCTTTTATTTCTCCATCAGTCTCCAGACAAGTACGCCGCTCTAGAGGAAACCAAGAACTACACCACTCAGTCCCTGGCCAGCGTGGCCTACCTGATCAACACACTCGCCAACAATGTGCTCCAAATGCTCGACATCCAGGCGTCCCAGCTGCGCCGAATGGAGTCCTCCATCAACCACATATCTCAGGTAACCTAGCAACACACCACACCTCCCCATACAATGTCACACTCTCTGGGCTATATTTACTGAAAGATGACTGACAGCTCGAAGAGTTTGCTAGGAGGTGACAAGTAAATGACTGTGACATAGTTAGGTAAAAGGTAGATTATAAGAAGCTTGATTATAAGTGGTTCTGACACTAATATTAGTGTAGAAATCTGTATTACTTTAATCAAACATTATGCCCTCATGAACGGTCACACATGAAAAGTACAGTTACCCAAGATTGTATTTTATTTTTTAAATTATTCAGAACTTTGGTTGGCTGATCAGACAGGATCCTTGTCCAGCCAGTTTTCGAGTCAGTCGATCTCATTGATTCTGTAATTAAACATCTTGCCACAGAGTCACAGTCTGTAATGACCTGTAATTCAGATGCAGCGTAACCACAGGGGTCTGGTGCGACTGCTGGAGTGTTTTGTGCTAGCCAAAGATATTTGCAAATGTTAGTCACACATACTCATTTGTGTGTTGCCTTATGTCCCTGCCTTCTCTCTTTTCCTCAGTCACCACTTCTCTCTCTTTCTCTCTGCCTCTCCTCTACCAGTCGCGGGAAATTCCTCCCTGTGGCGTCACATCTGGACTGTTGCATTACACAAAGCTCTGAGCTGAACTATTCAGAGTACCACAGTAAACTGGACAAGGGACCACACACATGCACCTCAAATATAGATTTAAAAAACCTCACCCTTGTGATGCTATTTAATTTTTTTCCTTTACTTTTATTGACCAAACTTGCATTATATTGATCAGAATATAATATTACAAAAGATTTCTTTCAAATAAATGATGTTCTTTTGAATTTTCTTTTCATTAAAGTATCCTATAATTGTGTCATGGTTTCCACAAAAATATTAAGCAGCAAAATTGCTTTCAACACTGATATTAATAATAAATGTTTCTTGAGCAGCAAATCAGCATATTAGAATGATTTCTGAAGAATCATGTGACTCTTGAAGACTTGAGTAATGAGTTTATCTTTGTCATTACAGGAATAAATTACATTTTAAAATATATTCAAGCAGAAAATAGTTATTTTAAATTGTAATAATTTTCACTATTACTTTTTTCGCTGTATTTTATATATGGATATGGAATGAAAGATATAGAATGTACTTCATGTTAGCTTGCTTATCTTGCTCAAGAGCAATCTGTGTAAGTCCACAAGTCACACTAACAAGAAACTATGCTTCTAACCTATAGCTGTAGTTCCAACCACACAGCTTTGCAGTGCAATTTGCAGATGTTTGTTGGAACTGTGTTTTTGGGAAACGCTGAATCGTTGAACTATGTTGCTAATGACGGAACTTGCGACCATAGTTTGCCAGCGATGCTTCTGGGAAACACGGCCCAGGTCAACAGCAGCTGCCTATTTCTCCATAATGAATGATTTCTCTCTTCCAGTTTTCATTGTTTTTTTGTTTTTGTCTCCATATCTCTGATCTGTCTTCTCTCCACTGCCCTCATCTGTGGACCCAGTTGTTGTTCTGGACTCGATTCCTATTTACCATATCACTGTCACTTAATACTGAAAATCATTTAGCTGTGTTTGAGAAGCCAGCAGCAGAGGCTTATCCCCTCTGTGCTTCCTCTGTTATTTTTTATTTAACAGCTGTCAACAGCATGGGCTCTAAAGCGATTAAACACAGCGGCACAACATCTAATGCAGCTCTTCTCGTGAAGTGGTTTTGACACGATCCTCTCCCAAATTGCCGTGTGAAATGAAACAGAACTCCACCGACAGGGATTTCAGACCTCTCACAACTACACGCTTTAATAATCCAATCCAATCCAATGTTCCAATGTTTTGGAACCCGTTTCCACAGATAATAGAGGCCATCGTTTTTTTTCTCAAGATTTCTTTCTCCAATGAAGTTAGTAAATTCTTGCTATTGTAGCTTTAAGACTTCTGTACGTAAATGTCCTATATTATAATTGGCTATCATGGATACAAATATGGTTTTAATTCTAAATGACCCAGTTTAGTTTTAGTACATCTCGGAATTTCTTCAGACTTTTAAAACTTTTTTTTTTTGTTCTTTCACTTCTCCAATCCAGACGGTGGACATCCACAAAGAAAAAGTGGCGAGGCGGGAGATCGGCATCCTCACAACCAATAAGAACACCTCACGCACGCATAAAATCATTGCTCCAGCCAATCCCGAGAGGCCAGTGCGGTTTATTCGCAAACCTATCGATTACAGCACGCTGGACGATATCGGTCACGGTGTGAAGGTAGGACACAGGCTCACCTCAGGGGGAATGATTTCTCAGACTAACATGTTTGTTTTGAACTAACAAATGCCAGAATCTGACGTGGGTTTTCTTGGTGTCTGAGATGTCACTAACCTCTCTGTGCTTCCTCTCACTTCTGTTCTCTGCTTCGCTCTTGGTTTAAGTGGTTGCTTAGGTTCAAGGTAAGGGTCTTTACAGCTATCTTATGATCAGGTGACATGAATGGAGAAGGAATAAGGTTTGATTCCTTAGTTCATATGATCTAAATATGGACTGAGAATACTGATATTCTGTATTTGGTTCATTCTAGGTTTAAAGGCTTGTCAGTTTTTACAAAAACGCTATTTGGAGACTCAGAAATTTCTTATATAGACGCATTAATGACTGAGGAATCGAAATGGAGCAAATAATATTTTAGTTTGATTTTGCAAATTAGGATTTGAACACCGTTTTGGAAATCATCCCTGTTTCTTCTTTCATCCTTTCTATATCACATTTGCATTTTTATCATTGTTGCATGTTGCTCAGGAGTAGGTGTGTGTGTGTGTCTGTGTGTGTGTGTGTGTGTGTGTGTGTGTGAGAGAGAGATTGTTCTGTTTGTTTGGTCTTTTCTTTGTTTTCTTTAAAAAAACTAAATGAGATAAAACACTTTTTCACAGTCTTTCTCTCTGTGGCTCTACATTTTATGTGGCTGTTCTAGCCTATTGTCGACTTAGATACTGTTTTCCTCCTCTTCCATGCAATTGAGATGTTTTTGTTAACAGCTAAAGGCTGTTTTTGATATTGTTGATTTTGCTGTTATTGTCATAGGTCAACACCCAGAACATGAAGATGGGCAGCCTTCTTCGCACCACACCTCCAACACAGAAACCACCCAGCCCCCCAATGCCAGGCAAAGGCACCATAGGGTATGTATATGGGCTTTATAGCTCTAGGGGTCACGAATGAGAGAATTGAGACTGAGATTGTGGCAGTGGATGACTCATTTTGTGAGTTTTTGCTTATAATACTTACATCTCCGAGGTTCTTCATTGAGCAGCACAAAATCTTTTGATTTAAAGGGGTCATATGATGCTGCTAAAAAGAACATTATTTTGTGTATTTGGTGTAATGAAATGTGTTTATGCGGTTTAAGGTAAAAAAAACGCATTATTTTCCACATACTGTACATTATTGTTTCTCCTCTATGCCCCGCCTTTTTGAAACGCGTCGATTTTTACAAAGCTCATCGTTCTGAAAAAAAGAGGGGTGCTGTGATTGGCCAGCTATCCAGTGCGTTGTGATTGGCCGAATACCTCAAGCGTGTGACGGAAATGTTA